GTACAAGACACCGGTTACAACCTCCGGACTTGTACGCGTCAAGCAAACTTCTAGAAACCCGCTTAGAAAAATTCACCGGCGATGGCAAGAAAACATTTGAAGAATTTCTCGAAGACTACGGAGAATTGGTAGATAGCCTACACATTCCCCACGCATACGCGAAAAGCTTACTCTCACTATTTCTAGGAGGTGGAGCTAAAGTAAAATACCACCTCGACTGACCAAGAAAAGGCAACTTGGTATTCTATGGTGACGGCCTTAGCTAAGAAGGCCGTCACCATAGACTCAAAGCTAGCAAGATAGGCTCAAAAACGAAGCAATGCTCAGTAACGTCCGCGACGAGTTGCACCATCTTAGGCAAGGAAAGGATTCTGTAGGAACGTTTGCGCAGTTCCTAGCGAAAACTAAAGTAGAAGACCAAGGGGAGGATAAGACGATCCCTAACAAACTAGCAATCAGTTTTTTCATCAAGGACCTAAGGCCCGACATTCGCAGAGCAGTTCGCAGACTTCCGGACCCTAAAGATTTGGGAACCGCACTCGCAAATGCTGAAGAAGAGCAAAGAATTCTTGAACAGGAACTTCGCGAGGAAAAAGAGATTTCGGAGAGCACAAACAACTTAGTGCTAGATGCGAAAGTGGACGAATTAACTAGTCAAGTCAACAGCCTTCAGCAGTCAAATAGAAATCCCTCCAGAAGTCCTAGACAAGACCGTCCTCGTCCCACGGCACGCTTCAATGTGCCCCCGTGCCAGAATACAAATTTTCAACAAAAACGATCACTAACCCCGTACCGGCCCAGAACCGGAACTTACGTAAATCCACCACTCCGACTCCGCTTCGTTCTTAGACGAGGTTTTTCGAACCATAGATTCTGCATTTGCCGTTCATTCCGCGTATCGCACCTTCAAACAACCCTTTGTTCCACATCCTCCATATACGCAACAGTTGCTTTATGTTGGTCCCAACAGCTAGTACCGCCAACAACAAACGCCCCGCAGCAGTACTGCCAAGCCTCAAATCGCCTTCCTTCAGGCGCACAAAACGTAAATTTCCTTTGCACACTGGCAATCATAACATTTGCCTCTCAGGGACTCGCACCGTGCGGGCGGCCAGCGACGAACTTACAATCGCTCGTTGGTGTGTGCGATTGTACGGTCGTCGAGGGCCGTTAGCACGGTTAACGTGGGGCGCCCGCACGGTTTCTAATGCTCGCCGCTTGCGCGGGGAAGGTCGGCCGCTCGCTTGCTGCTGGAGTAAATTTATATGGGGTATTTTAACCATTTTTCTTAGGTATGTTAAGCATTTTCACATCTTGGGAACACGGACCAATGCCTGCCGCACTACCCAAACTTTCCATGGAGAAACCCACGCCATTACTCCTGTAGCCTCACACAGGTTCATTCCAGCTTTGCGGTGAAGGGAAATGTTGGTAGCACGATAGTCGACGCTTAGCCAGCCTAAACGCTGCGTCGTACCTCATGCAGGTACCGTTTACGCTCATAGTGTGTGAAAACAATGAGCCGAAGGTAAAGGTCACTGTTGGCCGCTTGCACGGGCAAATGTTTGCCGCCCGATCGAACGGACACATTGCCTGCCGCTTGCACGGTCGATTTTATTGCGTACCGATTGCGAGATTGCCTGCCGCTTGTACGATCAAGCGATTGCTGGCCGATCGTGCGGACGCATTGCCTGCCGCTTGCACGGTCGATTTTATTGCGTGCCGATCAAACGGGTAGACTGTCTTCCGCTTGCACGGCATTTTTATTGTTGACCGCACGCACGGTACTTCAAAAACTATGCAGTGCGCTCAGGCGGAGGAGCTTTAATGAGGACCGCCCGCACGGCGCGAATCCCTGAGCTCATGATCCCCGTACCAGATTCATGGCAACAGTCCATTTCCTAACGTACTCTTGTTTTCAAAACAAGTGCAATGCAGGGCAACTACAGAGGAACCAAGGATCGAAACCAACATACATATAGTCGTCCTCCCCCCACTAGACACCCAGTGGACGATTTCAAATTTGAACTGGAGCATTCTGGTTGCGGCAGAGCGCGGCACATTCGGCTTTTTATTCAAACTCAGAGTTTTTCTTTGCGTTTCTCCGACGTTTTATGCAATTTTTTGAATGCTAACAGTCTTCTTAGTTAAGATTGGAGATTGCATTGCTTTTGAGGAATGTTTCGTGCTGTTTTTTCAACTTTATTTGAAAATAGAGCTAGAGAGAAGCATAAGGTATGAAACATCGCTAAACAACAACAAACTCGCCAATTCTGATTACAAACGCCATTTGAGATAAATGAATTACCATGCAACGACGAGAAATACAAAAGAACACTGCTAGAGCTTGAAATGAATTTGACGGTGCCGCGCTCTGCCGCAACTGCGTGCTCTAGTTCAAATTCGAATTCGTCCACTGGGTGTCTAGTGGGGGGAGGACGACTATACCAACATATTCGGCGAAACCAACAACCCTTACAGATACCTCCCCCCTCCTTTCTAACTATACAAGCGACTAACAAGGGAAGTACTTTTAATGGCCGTGGCCTTTTGTTATAAGATGCATATCATCTGAAGCAGCTTCGAACGCTGATTCTAAAGCTGCTTTCTGCGGAGCGATCTTCTGAAGAGAGTCATGGAAGCCTGAATATCCTGTTTTGGATCGCTCCTTGAGTTATACTAATACTAATAATACTAATACTAATACTTATAATACTTCGTCGATGTCTAGGAGGTGCTCATCAGGAGTTTCTGAAGTGATTATGAGGTCGTCGATGTAGATAAACACGCGGGCTCTAAGATGTTTCTTGAAATCATCCATAATCCGTTGGAAAATGGCAGGGGCTCCTTTCAGTCCCATGGGCATTCGTATGCATTCAAATGCTCCAAGAAAACATGCAAATGCGGTCCTTTCACAGTGGGATTCTTCTAATGAGATTTGGTGGAAACCCTGCTGGAAGTCGAGGAATGAATACAAGCAGATGTTTGCGCACAAGTCAACTATGTCTTGGATGTTCGGAAGTATGGATTGTTGTGGCTTCGTTATCGCATTCAATCCTCTGAAATCGATGGTAAATCTCCATGAAGTTGCATCTCTTTTGCGCAGTAAACTATAGGGGCGCCGAAGGGAGATGCTGATTCGCGTATAATACCATCCTTGAGTATTTGCGTGATCTGTTGTTCAAACTCGAGTCTTTTCTCGAGGGGAACGCGATAGTTTTTCTGATTGGTATAGGAGCATTGTCGATCAGGTCTATGCGGTGTCGAATCCGTCCATTATAATGGCCTAAGTGACCATCTGGTCCAACAAATGCTTTTGAGTGGTGTCGAATGATGCTAACTAGTTGTTCTTTTTGGTCCGTTGTCAGCGCGGATTTGGTCAGATCTATTTCTTTCACTATGTCATAGTTTGCTCCTGACTGAACTAGAAAGTGGGGAATTCTTTCCTCCCAATTCGCTTCAGGAAGGATGTATTCACTTTGCACGGCGAGTATCTGCTTTACTGGGGAAGATATAGGACTGGCGTACGTTACTCTCATTCGTTCGTACAATTTGATGTCGGTGTAGGAGGGGTTGAGTATACTTATAAGGCAGATTCCGTCGTTTGATGGGTGGACTAGAGATCTACCTACAACGTACAGAAGGTCCATGTCTCTTTGATTGTCTTCTACGATGAAGTCAAACGGGTTGTTAGGTGAGTAGTTGTCAATAAAAGCTGGTACAGTAGAGGAGGATCTTTTGGGGAGAATTGTAGTGTGTAAAAGGCGTACATCGTGTGGCTTTACTTCTGAGAAATTAATGGCATTTATTTGTATCATGATGTGTGCGTCTGAACCTATCGTGAGGACATTATTGTGTAGGTCGATAGTAACTTTTAGACCTGATTGATTCAGCTTCTTGATGAAGTCTGTACCAAAAAGGACTGGAGCGGGACATTGATGGACATGTGACACCAGGAACCGATGGGGTACGGTATGAGTTCCTATGTTTACGTTCACACTTATTGAACCTAAGAGTTCTATAGGTGAACCGTTTGCTGCTTGCGCTTTGACGTAGTTGTTATCAACTTGAATGTTTGGTCTTAGCGCATAAAGAGTGGACTGTTTCATATAGGAAATGGTGCCACCACTATCAATCGGAGCAGGAGTCGAGAGGTGGTTTTAGGTTATCCTGACATATGGTAAGGGATTTGTAGTGTGATTGTTCAAAAACGGTATTGCGTAGATGCGCGGTATGTAAAGAGGTTCTTGTGGGGGTAGTTCTACTAGTAGTGAGTTGATTTCTGGTCGGCTTCTGGCGCGTTTCTTGGTCGTGAAATTGCTTGCTAGTTCAATAGCTGAAGCGGCCGTATTAGATGCTTTTCGTATAAAATACATTTTCACGCAGCAGACGCAGCTGGCAACTAAGATTATCAGTACTAGTATTGGTACGGTTATCCATAGTAGCATGTATATGAGTGACCACCGTACATTTTCTATCCCTTCGGTGAGCTTGTTGGTGGTTTTATCATAGATTGATGAGAGAGACTCGCCGATTGAGTTCTTGACATCGTTGATTTTGAGTAGGGCATCATCTATGATTCCTCGTTTTTGTGAGCGGTTTTGCAGGGTTGCGTACTCTTGTTGTGGTGCATCGATTTGATGTCTTAGTGTCGGCGCATAGTTTTGATTATGTGTAAATAGGTGGCGAACTGAAGAGGAAAGGTTGTGCGTTGTCACTAAGGAGCGCGTTTGGAGGCAGCATAGGCTGAACTTGTCCATTCAGATTGCTTATGTACGGGCATGGGGTTTCTGATGATGTAAGAACCAAGTCTCCAGTTCCGGGGATGGAGAACCATATTTGGTCTTCAACGAGAACAGGAGTAGTTCGTAACAGGTCTCGTTGATTTGGTGGTTGGAGTATACCTCGCTTGGTTCGATTTTCTTGCATCTTGAAATTAGAAGTTCATCGTCGGACAGGGTGGCCACGATGTCGGAGGTCTTCAGTAGTGTCCTGGCTGCCTAAGTGGGGTCAGCGCGACTGAGTTCGTGGATCCTTTGGTTGTTCAACAATTGTCTCATGCATATGTTGTTGAAACTACGCCGTATTGCGATGGGATCAAAGTAATCGTCGCCTGCGGGCGAGGTGAGGAGATTGTTGGTCCGCTTGATGTGCCTGTGTGGGGGTGAAGCGATGTGGTTTGAAGGACGTAGTGGAATTAGTCTCTCGTAGCTTATAACAGGTTTGATGGAAGTGGTGGTGACTTGTATGATGGTAGTAGTGCCGCTCGGGACCGTTGTTGTTGGTCGAAGCGTTGTAGGAGAGACGCTCTTAAGCGTGGTTGTGGCTGTCGTTGTGGTGGGGGCGCTCCGAGGTGCAGTCGTAGTCGGCTTCGTGGTGATAAGGTACTGGCCTTTCGTGGGAGGCGTCGTCGTAGTACGGGCAGAAGTTGTTGCTGTCTTCGCTTGTGTCGCCGGGGCAGTGGATGTGGTTGCGGTTGTTGTACGGGTATCGATGGGATTTAGTGACTTCGTCTTAGAGATACTGTGCACGTAAGATGGTATAACCACGGGTGGCTTGGTTACGGCAGGTACGGTACTTGTTAGTTTCGTGGTCGTCTTTGCAGCTTCCTTGGGCGGCTGCCTGGTAGTCGGAGATTACGTGGTTGTTGACAGAGGTTTCGTGGAATGGTTAGCCGGAGTGCTGTTAGTCGATGTTTTTGTAGGGCTAACAGTTGATCGCTCTGCTTGCGTATGGATCCGCTTCAATTTGGTTGGTGACGTTTACCTTGCTAGGTCTTCTGCTTGGAAGAATGGTGCGGGCTTACTCTTGAGTTTGATTGAGTCCATGTCGATCTCCATCTGTATTTTCCCAAATTGTTATGATAGATAGTCGTTAAACACATCAGTAATACCGAGCTGAAGATCTTGGAGAGTGCGTGCTCGGCATAATTAAGAGGTCTTTTGGTTTCAATGGCTTGCAGCCAAGCTATCTGGCGGTATCGATATTCGGCGTATCGTATGGTACGAAGGACATTCTTACGTATGTCTTCGATGGCATACATGCGAGCTCTGCGGAGGAAATCGGCGTTGGTGATGTTCCACAGCTTGATTTCTCTTAGTAGAAGAACATCGGTTATTGGTTGGGCCTCAAACGGTGGTACTTCGATATCTGCGATGCCGAAGATTCTTTGAGCTATGGGGAGAGTTTGTGCCAGTATTAGCTCATAACGTGACTGTCGATTTTCGGTATCGACAAGGTATTTAACCTCACGCTTCGTTTTGAACGTTGGTGAGGATTCCAAAATAAAATCTTGGACTATAGTATTGGGTGGAATATTCGGGAAGGAAATGATGTGAATGGATGTGGTCAGATAGCTATTACTGATACTACAATGTCGTAATAGTTGCGAGCGGTGTAGGTGGTTGCTACTGAACTCGAATGCTAGATGGATATGCGTTGCCGTCCTATCACGGTGCGCCTAGTCCTTATGTAGAGAAAACTGTGTATCGAGACTTTGATTACGTCTCGATAGCATTTGTGCGCAGTCATTTGCAAGGGTCTACTATTTTCGGCAAATAACTGTATGTGTGTCTCAATCATAGGTTCTCCCGTGGTCACAAATACATTGCACTAACTTCGGGAGCGAGGGTCTGTTAGAAATGAGCTACTTCCACATATCTGGAAGGAGGTTGCAGGTGTCAGTAAGCATGCTGCTATGATGGCCAATACGCAGAGGAAGTTAACATTTTGCGCAGGCGCAGGAAGTTGCTTAGGCGGTTGGTAGTTTTGATAATAAGCCGGGGGATTTGCTATGGCTGGGACGTATGGTTGATTGAGATTTACATAAGGTATGGGCTGAGTGTATGCCGGATATGGAGTGTAGGGTTGGTTGAAGTATCGGAATGGCGTGCTAGGTGGGCGGCGATTCCAAAATCGGGGATTTGGAAATATTTTTCTAGGGACGAAACGTAGCTGGCGCGGGGGATCGACTCGTAATGCTGGTCTGGGACGATACGGTGTTACTGATTGCCTTTGCTGGTTGGGGTTTTGGCGCGGATTAGGTTGGAATCGCACTACCGGGCGAGGGCGTTCTCATACTGGACCTCTAGGTCGGTTTCGGTTGACTTGCTGAAGGTTATTGACCTGTTCGGTCAGTTCCTCCACTTTTTGGTCGAGCACTAGCGAATTTATGCTTTCCAAAATCTCCTTTTCTTCGCGATACTCTTGTTCGAGGATTCTTTGTTCTTTCTCTGCGTTAGCGAGAGCAGTTTCAAAGTCTGATGGGACGGGTAGTCTTCGCACGGCCCTACAGATGTCGAGTGTCGAGTCGCAACCCTTTTATGAAGAAGCCTATGGCGAGTTGTTAGGTATCTTTTCATCTTCGCCTTGGTGTGCTTTTCTGGTTTTTGCTAGAATCTTTTTTGCAAATTCGCCTACTGAGTCTTTTCCTTGCTTCAGGTGATGCAGCTCATCGCGAACGTTACATAGCATAGCCTGGTTCTTGAATTTGGTTGCTAATGCTTTGGTCATGGCTTGCCAGGTTGCTCTTTCCGCGGGTTTCAGTTTCGGTATTTGACTTTAGCTCCGCCTGCTAAGAATGTGGGCAAGAGACTTTTTGCATAAACGTGAGGAATTGTAAGCTATCTACTAACTCCGGTAATCCTCTAAGAATTCTTCAAAGGTTTTGTGTCGCCGGTGAATCTTTCTGCGCGTTCCTACAAGTTTGCTCGAAGCGTATAGATCGGGTGGGTTGTAGTCTAGACTTCGTCTGGAGCTTGCCTTGCTGACCTTTTCCATTATTGTTGTTCCCATTATTATTGTTACCGTTTCCACCGTTACCACCGCCGTTACCGCCATTACCTCCGTTGTTGTCTTCGTCAGACATTTTGGGTGGTCTTGGATATGTAAAGCGTTGTGTCTTCTTTGCTGTAATTAACGCTATGTTTCACGATGTTGCATTTGGGTACTTGGAAAGTTCTGACCTTGACGTGCATTAAGAACTTCGCGGGCGGGCGGCTTGGCCAAAGAATGATGCATTTTTCAGTTTCTCTCATGTTTCCCGAGAAAGTTTTTGGTCGTGATGGACGTGTCTGATGGACGAACGTTAGCGAATTGCTTAAGCAAAGAGATATAGTCACTGAGAGATACGCAATAGTTGTTCACGCTGTCAACGCGACGACCTTCAAGGTCACGAACAGCAACGTATACTTGGAACTTCCGCCAACAGTTCCAGACTAAGTACTCACATGTCAACTACAATGTTTCGACGCAAGCCTGACAAATTGCAGAAAGGTAACCTAGCAATGTCATTTGTGGTGTGTATCGTAGCGTCTGTATACATGTGTGATAGTGTGTGTGAGTAATTACTCAGTGGTGTCCAGTGGCAATAATAACCAAATCTGTTCCATGGTCAGGAACACTTCATTTCCTCGCTGTCCTAGCCTTGCTACCGCGGCATCCCTTCTTTTCGGTAGTTCCTGGTGGAAGATTTCATAGGCATGACTGAGCACTGTCGTTCCTAGGGGGGAGGTGCTGCAATTGTAGGAAAAGAGCTACTTCCGCATATTTGGAAGGAGGTTGCAGGTGTTAGCAAACATGCTGCTATGACGGCCAATACGCACAGAAAGTTGACATTTTGTGCGGGAGCAGGAAGTCGGTTAGGCGGCTGTTGATTTTGATAATAGGCCGGGGAATTTGCTATGGCTGGGACGTATGGTTGATTGGGATTTACATAAGGTTGATTGGGATTTACATAAGGTATGGGCTGAGTGTACGCCGGATATGGAGTGTAGGGTTGGTTGAAGTATCGGAATGGCGTGCTCAGGGATTCGCGCCGTGCGAGCGGTCCCCCTATAAGGGCTAGCGTACAAGCGGTCGACATAAGCCTAAAGTTTCCGTGCGTGCGGCCAGCAGCTGAAGCGCCGTCCTAGCGGCAGGCAATGTTACCGTGCAAACGACCGGCAATACATTTGCTCGAGCGAGCGGCCAGCAATGTGTCCGTTTTATCGGTCGGCAATACCTGTTGCCGTGCAAGCGGCCATCGGTGACCTCAATCTTTTGCTCACTATTTTCACACATTGTGAGCGTGAAAGGTACCTGCGTGAGATACGACGCAGGGTTTAGGCTGGCTAAGCATTGACATATCGTGTTATCAATGCTTTCCTTCACCAGCAAAGCTGGGATGAACCTATGTGAGGCTACAGTTATCAAGAATGATGGTGTGGGCGCTTCCCCATGAAAAATCTGGGCAATGCCGCAGGCATCGATCCATATTCCCACAATGTGAGAAGGACCAACATATCCAAGAAAAATGGTCAAGATATACCATATGAATTTACTCCAACAGCAAGCGAGCGGCCGACCTTCCCCGCGCAAGCGGGCGACCATTAGAAACCGTGCGGGCCCCACGTTAACCGTGCCGACGGCCCTCGACGACCGTACAATCGCACACACCAACGAGCGATTGTAAGGTCGTCGCTGGCCGCCCGCACGCGCGAGTCCCTGAGTGCTAGGTGGGCGGCGGTTCCAAAATCGAGGATTTGGGAATATTCTTCTGGAGACAAAACGTAACTGGCGCGGGGGATCGACTCGCAATCCTGGTCTGGGACGATACGGTGTTACTGATCGCCTTTGCTGGAAATTGGGGTTTTGGCGCGGATTAGGTTGAAAACGCACTACTTGGCGAGGGCGTTCTCGTGATGGACTTCTGGGCGGATTGCGACTTGCTTGCTGGAGACTGTTGACTTGCTCTGTCAACTCTTCTACCTTTTGGTCGAGTACGAGCGAATTTATGCTTTCGAGAATCTCTTTTTCTTCGCGATACTCTTGCTCTAAGATTCTTTGCTCTTCTTCTGCATTAGCAAGCGCTGTCTCAAAATCTGGTGGGTCGGGGAGTCTCCTTACGGCCCTGCGAATATCGGGTCGCAACCCTTTTATGAAGAAGTATATGGCAAGTTTATTAGTTATCCTCTTATCTTCGCCTTGATACGCTATTTTGGTTTTTGCTAGGATCTTCTTTGCGAATTCGCCCACTGAGTCTTTTCCTTGCCGTAGATGGTGTAGTTCATCGCGAACGTTACTTAGCATGGCCTGGTTCTTAAATTTAGTTGCTAGAGCTTTGGTCATTGCTTCCCAGGTTGCTTTTTCTGCGGGCTTCAAAGTTTGGTAGTTAACTTTAGCTCCGCCTGCTAAGAAAAGGGGCAAGAGACTTTTTGCATACACGTGGGGAATGTGTAGGTTATCTACTAGCTCGCGATAATCTTCTAGGAACTCCTCAAATGCTTTGTCGGAGTCGCCGGTAAATCCTTCTAAGCGCGTGCCCAAAAGTTTGCTTGAAGCATAAAGATCGGGTGGATTGTAGCCGGCCATTTCATCCTGAGCTTGCTGGTTTCTTCTATCGCCGTTTCCACCATTACCGTCGTTACCTCCGTTGCCGTTACCTGCGTTGCCGTTACCTCCGCGTTCACCATTACCACCGTTATTTTCGCGGTCTTCTTCGGACATGTCAGGTGGTCTTGGATATGTAGAGGGTTGTCCCTTCTTTGCTGATTCAAAAGCTGCGCTTAACCCTTGGAGAAGTTTGGTGAAAGCGCTTTCTGTTTTCTTTTCTTCTTCTTCTAAGCTTCCCGGCTTGGGTGTTGCTGGGGTCGTTGCTGGGGTTACGTAACCAGATAGTGTTTGGCTAGTTGAAGGTTGTTCGCTTGCTCTTACTTCGCTAGCCTGGTAGTCGCCAAATTCTTCTTGACTAGTGGATGGTAAGTCGCGCGGGTCTACTGTGCTAGTGGAAGGCTGGTCGCTAGGTTCTACTCTACCTCTAGAAGTTGTTGGAGTTTCCTCCGCTCTTCCGGATGATTGCTGTTGTCCACGCTCAGCGAGTCTTGCGAGAAATGCTGCTCTTCTTTCGTCAAATCTTCTAAGCCTTTCGGACCTACTTAATTGTTCACGTACTTTGGTTTTCTGTTCCTTGGGAGGAATTTTGGTGATCAGTCAAAATGCTTTCCTAAGTATCAGTAACTAATGCGCGTGTGTGTATATATTTTTCTTTCCAAGGGGAATTATTTAAAGATTTTTTTTGAGAAGTTGGATTGAGAGAATTGCGAGGAATAATTCTCAACAGATTCTACAAAAGAGAACGGATATGACAAAAGTTCTCTTAGAGGTCTTTCAGAGAAGTTTTTCTCAACTGTGATAGACTCACTTTGATTTCCTGTTGGGATTGTGTGAGGTCTGCGGCGTGTGGTTGAATGACTGGGTTAGGCTGACTGAGGTAGCAGAAGCGGTGTGTCGGAGCGGATGCTCTGGCAGCTGTGGGTAGTGAATGTGTTCAGGGTATATATATGTAAGCGAAGGAAGTCGGAGTCCAGTTTACCGAGTTTTCTCGCTATGATGCGAACGCGTGTTCCAATACATAAGTAGTTTTGCGACTGATACGAATTAGCGGCCTTCGCTTTCGGTGTTGCGGCATGGCGATTCAGTACGTAATGAGTTTTGCGGCTAATACGAATTAGCTGTATGTGTTTCACGATGTTGCATTTGGGTACTTAGAGGGTTTTGACCTTGATGCGGATTACAACTTCGCTGGCGGGCGACATGGCCAAAGAACGATGGTGACTTTTCGGTTTCTCTGTGTTTCCCGAGGAAGTTTTTGGTCATGATTGACATGTCTGATGAACGCACGTTAGCGAATTGCTTAAGCAAAGAGATATAATCACTGAGAGATACTCCAGCGAACAATTGGTCAAGCTATCAATGCGGCGACCTTCAAGGTCACGACCAGCAACGTGTATTGTATCTTCCGCCAATAGTTCCAAGGTAGGTATTCACACGACAACTACACGTTTCGACGCAATTCTGGCAAACTGCCGAGAAATAACCTGGTAATGTCATTTGTAGTGTCTATCGTTGCGTCTGTGTACATGTGTGATAGTGTGTATGATAGAGGAGTGTGTGAATAATGCCTTGGTTGTAGATTACCTTGTTTTTAAAACGAGTGTGAAATCTTTTTTATCGTTCTAATGGAGGCATTTTTATTAAGAAGTCGCTATCGTAGTCGTCGACATCTTGCTGACGGCACACGTCGAAGTCGTATTCGCGTTGGCATTCGGGGCAGCAGTTCCCGATAGAGTCGCACCGGTGTCTCGGGAGATGGGGATGGTGGGCTGATACGGCGGAGTGCCAGAAGAAGAGTACGTGTAACAGGTATTGTCCGACGAATACTCTTTGTTGTCATTGGGTAGTCGGATTCGGGGAACTCTTATATACCTTTTCCCTTCGGGTCTCCTCACTAGGTTCTGTTCGTCTTGTTCGGTGAAGTTGGCGTCCAGGGGAATTAGCAGCCATATCTGCTCCATAGTCAAGTATACTTCGCTTCCTGGTTCTCCGAGCTTTGCTACCGAGGCGTCTCGTCGTTTCGGCAGTTCGGAGAAGGCCTCATATGCGTGATTCAGCACCGTCGTGCCTACGGGGCAGTCGTCACAGTAGCAAAAGTGTTTGCTGATGGGGACAGGGAGTAGAGTGACTGTGTTTATCTCATCCAGGTAGGTTCCAGTATGCCCGCTGAAGGCTCGGGTTGCTATTTCCAATATAAGGGGCAGTGAGCTGTTCATGGATTCTGCGAGAGTCCGGTGGCATCTGTCTTCATGTATTATCTCCATGATCGAACTGAGACGGAGAATGTTAGATTTCGGCTGCGTTTTCCACATATCGCGGGGCGCTTTTCCGTAATAACTCTGGTGTCTCATCTTGTAGTCATCTTCAAGGAGGGCTTTGTGAACTTTTGCGATTAAGAGTTGAGCATTCATTTTCAATTTAGTTGTAAGTTGAGTAGTTTTATAAATAATAAAAGGATTAGTTACACGACGCGAGAGAATTAAACGTATAGGAAGGAGATTGTGTGAAGGGGAAGGAGCAAATTCGTAGTGTCAGTTTAGGAGAGAGGTGTGCTTTTATTGTGTAGGCTATAGTTATCATGTGTTTATGTTCTGCGCTTTATTAATGCGATCACTTGATGATGAGTTAATTTTACACGCGAGGGTGTCGCTAGTTACCTGGCCAGGCTTTTCCTACGCTCATGAAATGTGTAGATATGTGGAGCGAAAGCTCCTGTCACATAATTGCTTTTTCATGTTGGCCTCGCGTTAGAAGGGCGTAGTTGTGACATGCGCGATGTTTATAAGAAAATGTGAGTTCTTTTTCTGGGTTTTAAAAATAAGAAAACCCAGTGCGGAACCTCCATGTAATAAAATAAAGATTTATGCTTATTGAGACGACTTTGTCCAGTAACGCTTACGTATATAAGCTCTCTCTAAGTGACTCCTTCTCTCTACTGCACACAAGGGATTACTAAGTTTTTATCAGTGTATGTACGAAACATGGTGCAAAGGGCAAGTAATGTAAAAGGAGCACGGAAGGATGTACAGGAAATACAGAAAGAGATACGGAAAAAACATTACAGAGATAACTATTAAAGAGATGAAGAGAACAGACAAAAGGAAAGGGGAAGTATATGATGGGGTGGGGTTGAAGGCTCACCTCAGCATGATGGTAAGAACGCCAGCCAAAGCTGGCATGCTGTCGCACAAGAGCCCAATGGGCGGGGCTTATGTCTTTTTATACCCTATATGTGGGCGGGTAAGATGGAGCGGCCGAACTTGGTTGATTGGCGTTGTGATAAGTTTTGCGCTTTTCCTACACAATAGCAGAAGTGCTTGCTAATAGGAACCGGTATAATCAGAATGATGTTTATGTCGTCAAGATATGCTTCCCTATGCCCATCGAACGCTCGGGCGGTTACTCCCAGAATGTCCGGTAGAGAGGCATTTATGGATTGGGCCGGGGTCTTATGGAATCTCTGTTCGTGTATAAGCTCCATTATTGAACTTAATTGCAGGATATTCGATTTGGGCTGGGTTTCCCACATATTGCGCGGTGATTTTCCGTAATAACGCTGATGTCTTAGCTTCTCGTTCTCGAGGAATGCTTTGTGGACTTTGGCAATCAAGGTTTGGGCGTTCATTTTCAAGTTAGTTGTAAGTTGAGTATGTTCTGTAAGTAAAAGGATTAGTTGCACAACGCGAGAGGAATAAACGTATGAGGAGGAGATTGTGTGGAGAGGGAGGAGCGAGGTCGTAATATAGTTTTGGCGAGAGGTGTGCTTTCGTTGTGTGAGCTATAGTTATCATGTGTTTAAAATATTCTGCGCTTCATTAATGCGATCACTTGATGATGAGTTGATTTTATAGGCAAGGGTGTGTAATATATAAAAAGATTTTGGGCTATTGCGAGGACTTTGTCCACTAACGTATGATTATTTTGGCTCTCTCTCTAGCCTTTCCCTTCTCTACAGAACATGAATGGTTACTAAAGTTTATCCTTATGACATCTCATTATAGAAATTGAGTCTATAGGGGTAAATAGACGGATTGGTATAGGCGTCACATAAGAGTAGATGAGGGTAATACATGAGAAGATTACAATGGGAGGTAAATAACATTGAGGTTAATAAAGAGGTTACGTGGATTTGAAGAACACATAAAGAATACAAAACAATGATAGAGAAAAATGAGGAGGGGCAGTTAAATGAGGTGCAGTGATGCCAGCTGAAGCTGGCGGCGGAAGTGCATGAGAACCCCCGGAAGCGGGGTTACTCTTCTTTTATACTCGCATTAACGGCGGCTGTGCGGACGCAACCAATAGCGCAGTGGTGGCAATTTGCGCTTTTCCTACATCTAACCGCTTTAGGAAGTCCCGGTCCCCGGAACTTAAGAATAGCTGGCGCGTTCGATAGGACATACAGCGGTAGCGTGGTCGAGTTTGAGGCAACGCCGGCAGAAAGGCACGTCGTCGCAGCAGGCTTGAGGATGCGTGCCTATGCAAGATGTGCATAAGGAATTATCGCGGAATAGTATGTATAGCCTCTCATTGAGAGGCATGGTAGAAGTACAGTTGGCTGTTAAGTACGTGGTTTCACTGCAAAGCACGCAAGGTTTGAAGCGGCGTCAGAAGGCTGTTTGAGGTGGCCTTCTAGGAGCCGTAGTGGCTGGTGCTGGCGGCGTTGAATTGCTAACTGTTGGCGCAGCTCTATTGCTTTGTGCGGCGCTGGTGCTGGGCTGGTTATTGGAGTGCGGTACGGGAGACGATGAAGGGTGGAACAGGGCTTGGTAGTCCCTGGTAGACATAGTGAATTGTCTCGGTATTGGTGAGACTGATGGGGATCGATTACAGATCCAGGTTGTAGTGATTCGAAGTGGGGGTGGCGAGAGTGCAATTATTGAGGGAGATGACTGAGGAGATGAATAATCGCAGTAAGATACATGAGGTGAAATGGAGACATCCGAGGGAGATGGAGAGAGTGTAACTAAGTCCGAGGGAGTTGGAGTGACTATAACTACTAAAGGAGATGGTTCACGTGATATGGAAATATGAGACATAGGCGGAGGTGAATTAAGAGAATATTCCAAGCGGGATGGAGATGAATGATGAGAATATGGAGGAGGAGCTGGAGAAGGAGAGCATTTAATAACGATTACATCATTACAAGTACAATATGAGGTTGAAGGCCCTTGCAAATGACAATAACATGATGAAGGGGATGGAGAGCGGTATGGAGGTGGAGGAGAAGGATAGCATCGTCGGGCAGGCTCTGTCGAGGAATTCGATGATGAGGATGACCACGTTCTTTTGCGGCTAAAACGCAGTGAGCGAGGTGGCATGTTTGCAAAGTTCTCTTGCGAATATTACGCTTTTTTCAAAGTTTGTATGACTCACTTTAACCCTGTGCGATGGCTTGGTGACAGTGGGTCGGTGACAAATTATAGATGAGAGTATACGGTAGGCGGAGTTTAGGTTTGAGGGTGGACACAAGTACTGCTGGGTTTAACTGACTGTAGTTGACTGCAGCAGACGATGGTGAGCTGTCAGAGCGGTTGCTCTCGTGTGTGGGTGCTGACTGAGGTCGCTGTAGGATGAAGGGTATCTGAGGCCGAACTTGCTCTATCGTCAGATAGCGTACATCGTTTCCCATTCCAATGCGGATGATCGGGAGTGTCATGTCCTCAAGTAATTCGCCGGTGCGATTACAGACGTGGTTCACGTTCGTCCCCACTGGGCAAACCCGCAGTAGCAGAACCATCTATTGGTGTTTGTTCTAGCCAATACCATCATTGTTCCAAGTTCTCCCAAAAGTCGCATTTTTGCGCTCATCGAATGCCGATTCGACTATCCCAGTATATCGGAGAGGTACGAGTTTGTGGATTGCGAACGATAATTTGGCTTCTTGCCTAATAATATTTCCAAAAGAATCTTGAGGCGTATAATGTTTAAAGTGTTGAGCACGTTGAGGGAATGCGTCAGCGTCTTGCCGAATTTGATCTTGATTTATCTTATCCGACCAATATGCATGGCGGTTTTGAAGATTTGGGCAAGTCCTAAGGTGACGGTGGATTTTCTCAACCATAATCGTGCGTTCCATTTTTGCTTGATTCTGTAACATTCGATTGAATCCGAGGCTAAAAGAAAGCTCATAGATTGCAAGGATATTTGGAGAGGGAGCGTGGAGGCGCTAGAGAGAGTTTTGGAAGTTAGTAGGATTTTTGATGAAAGTGTTGGATAATTATTAATAGGTTGTCTCATGATTTGGTCTTTTTGCCGCAATAAGTCGCACATTTCTTAATTCTAATCAGAATGCAGGGTGCCATTCGATAAAGCAAAAGCTCTACAAGATGGCGTGTAAACGTTCGCGCCAGCTTGAGCACATCACGATCTAGAAGCCAAAACCTTAGAACTTTCGGATGCCCGAAGATTGGAAAATTTTTCATATCTTTGTCCAAAGGCAGCTTACCAGATTCCACATTTGCTCATACATTTACACTACGTATAAAACATTCATATAAGCCATTGCTGTTTTGTTTGCCAAGTTTT